TGCTGGTTTACCACATTTTCTGCTTTGTTATCCTCCTCAGATGAACTTCAAAGGGCTATTTGTTGGCTCGGTAGAAAATCTGTTTGCCTGCATGGCCCTTGTGTAACTCAGGACATGGTGAATGCTACTCACAGACTGAAAAAGTGTCGGGAGGGATACGGGGCATTACAGCCTGGCTCATAGCTGATGGTGGAGAAAATCAGAAATGGGTACCTCCCATCCTCCTCCCACCAGGTATCCTCCTCTGAGCTTTCAAGGGAAGTTTAGCATACCTACAGCTTTCAGCACCCCACGTCCGTGAACACACTGGTGGTTATTTATCTCTACTGCCCTCCAGCCCAGCCCAGCAGTGCTCTGTCTGCCCATGCTCCCCCCAAATTACCTGTAGAAGAGCGAGTAGGGTTTAGCATGGGGAGAAGAATAAAATCTGGTTCCAGTTCTTCCCTGTCCCCCAACCCAGGCATCTCCCGTTAGTTTTCATCATCATCATTATCGCCCTTTCAGCCAACAGTTCCCAAGTCCATCCTTGTGCTGTGGGCCTCCCCTCCCATCCTCCCTCATACCTGCCGGTCAAGGACAGCACCTTTCCAAAGCCATATTTGTCATCTCATAACCCTGTCTCCACTCCTTTCCTTTCACTGCCTTTGACAAATCACATCCTCCATTGCCTTTAATGAATTTGGTTCCTCTGTTGAGAAAAGCTCGGGGGATAGCTGTGTGTCAGGAACACCGACCACCCCAGAAGTGGCACAGGCACATAAACCTTTCTGAAAGCCAGGCAGGGCCAGGGATTCAAATGTGTATATCACTTCTCAAAACACAGTAAAGCTGCTCTTGGAAGTGTTACACAACACTGTAATTCTGCTGTTTCCCTCCAAAACACTGGCACCATCACAATTTTTCCTCCTTCTCCTTGTTACCAAGCTGTTACTCATATGCCCAGCACAGTCCTCTCTGGTTTGCCCAAAGTACAGCAGCCATCCATCCTCCAACCACAGCAGTCGCCAGGCCTGCTCACTTGTGTCTTATCTTTTTTTGATGAGAGCAGCCCTGCCGAGAAGGACTTGGGGGTACTGGTGGATGAAAAGCTGGACATGAGCCGGCAATGTGCACTCACAGCCCAGAAGGCCAATCGTATCCTGGGCTGCATCAAAAGAAGCGTGGCCAGCAGGTCGAGGGAGGTGATTCTGCCCCTCTACTCTGCTCTGGTGAGACCCCACCTGGAGTACTGCGTCCAGCTCTGGAGCCCTCAGTGTAAGAAAGACATGGACCTGTTGGAGCAGGTCCAGAAGAGGGCCACGAAAATGATCAGGGGGATGGAACACCTCTCCTATGAAGAAAGGCTGAGAGAGCTGGGGTTGTTCAGCCTAGAGAAGAGAAGGCTTTGGGGAGACCTTACTGCAGCCTATCAGTACTTAAAGGGGGCTTATAAAAAAGATGGCAGCAAACTTTTTAATCGGACCTGTTGCGATAGGACAAGGGGGAATGGCTTTAAACTAAAGGGGGATAGATTTAGACTAGATACAAGGAAGAAATTTTTTACACTGAGGGTGGTGAAACACTGGCACAGGTTGCTCAGAGAGGTGGTGGATGCCCCATCCCTGGAAACATTCAAGGTCAGGTTGGACGGGGCTCTGAGCAACCTGATCTACTTGAAGATGTCCCTGCCCACGGCAGGGGGGTTGGGCTAGGTGATCCTTAAAGGTCCCTTCCAACCCAAACTATTCTATGATTCTACGATCTGCCATATGCTTGTTTGGGGCTCTTGGGCAAATCTCTTGTGTTCTCTGTGCTCCTATAAATCAGGAAAACGGTGCTCGTTGAGATTAATGGATGAAAAGCGTATCATTTGGCTGACTTATAAAGCACCACAGTTTACAGTATTACACAAACCAAAAATAATTTAAAGTTGTTGAATAAGATGAAAAAATTCAAGCCTGTCCTTGTTTCAGTATTTTGTCCTTGACCATGTATCCTAAATGCACTAAAATACACTTAAAAAAACCCCAAGGTAGCAAAGAAACTCTGAAATATCTCCACTCGAACAAAAGCTGCTTAAAAAATGATTGCAAAGAGGTATCAGTACCTGTGAGTTCTTATTTTGCTCAGAAAGTAAATACATTACTAATGGGGAGGGACATAACCACACTGCAGTATACAAGTATATATTAGCTGAAGGAAACAAAAAACTAAAATAATGCGACTCGGAAATTATATATCAGCTTCCGTAAAAAGTTGCAAATTTATTAGGGTGTGTTCTGTGTTGGAGACATCTGAACTTTTAAATTTTTCACTTAAGTCAGGAGTGGCTATGAAGAAGGGGGGTTTAGCAAACACATTAAAAGGAGAGCACCTGTTCATGTGCTACCTTTACTGTCTTCAACAAGAGCCATATTTGATTTTTGTTGCGCAGAATGTGTTTGTAAGCCCTTTCACCTCTTTTCCTGTTTACCGCAGCTACAAAACCTTCTATTTGTCTCAAAACCTATTCTGTAACTAGCAGCTGCCCATTCGACACCCACATATCACCGAATCTCAGCCATCTCCACAAGCGATGGAATAAACCTCCCGGAAACTCCTGAGCCCGAGAGAGGAAAAGGACACGGTCGAAGGAGAAGGCAACTGGGGCCGACTGAGAGAGTAGAGGCTTCTTACTGTCAAAGGTAAAGTCCATCCACATTTAATGTGCTTCTCTTAAAAGTAATGGGCTAATTTTGGCAACCAGGGGAAAAGGACCTGCAGCAGTTATCTCTCTCTTGATACCCTCCAGAAAACTGCTTTTTCAGTTTGACTGTTTTGCCAACTGAGGTGGAGAGGGGAGAAAATGGAAAATGCTGTCATCGGCATTAGTGGTGTAAAGGAGGTCTGAAAAGCTGAAGTGGAGCATCTCCAGTTTCTGCTCAGCCCAGGAAAAACAATTCTGAATTTTGCCAAAATCAGCTGCATCATATCTATAAATCTATATCTATGTATCTATATCTATCTCTGTATTTATATATCTATATATCTATAACACAGTATTCATTATTTTTTGAAATTTTTTTACTTTTGGTTGTTGAATCTATGGACTGCTTTTAAGGGGTCCCTTACAGGCTGTTGTGGTTTAACCCCAGCCGGCAACATAGCCCCATACTAGCTACTATGAAGAAAATTAACTCTACCCCAGCCAAAACAAGCACACAGGCAATTCAAAGCAAGCCATTGCTGCAATGCTTACAGTCACAGTGTGTCGGGGTCATATATCAAAAGCATTAGCAGGAAATATTTTCTATCCATATCTGTTGCTGCATGAACAGCCATTATCTAGTGACTCAACATCTCGATATTTAGGGGTTTATGCATGAAAACGAAGTTGAAATTAATAACGCAGATATCCTACCTACAGCTGAAAACTAAACATAGGAAAGAATTACACTATCAACGTAGACTGCAGCACTGCTTTTCTCTCATCACTCGTTATTTCTGAACAAGGAACTCCGTAGGGTTGAGTGCTGTATTTGTAACAGGTTTCTCTGCATTGCACGTGCCAATCGACTTTGGTAGAAACAGTCCTGGTGCCCCAAGAAGCTGAGGCAGGTCAGTGAGGCATGAGCAGCATCCATACCTGGAGCAGAGGCAAACACTGACACCAGCACCCCTCTGTGCTGTGCATATGGATCCTCCTGTTTCCCTGCACAAGGTGGCACAGCCAGGCAAGAAGGGGTGAATTCTGATTCCTTCCCCGTCAATACGAAAATTTTCACTGTTCTCTCTCTTTTCATATACCCAAGCAGCAATTTTTAACTCAGGAGAGCATGTCCTCTACTTTTAATGGATTAATCACTGTCATTCATATTATTGCTACAGCTTAATAGCAATTATTATTACAAATTATTCTTCCCTCCTGGACACTCTATGTCTTTGAAGCTCTTTCAAGATGTGATCAACCTGTATGCAAGCATAACATAGGTGCGGTGCACAATAAACATGCAAATATCTTAGCAGTGACAAGGCAAACTCCTTTGAAATACTGTCTTTTGAAAGAACCATTACTTCTTAAAATGTGAACACAACTCTGCAAACCAGACCCCCTTTTATAGGGGTCATGAGGTGACATCTGAAAAAAAAAAAAAAAGGTGGCTAAAGCACTGACTCACTTTTGGAGAGCAGGTCAGACTATTTTAAAGCTGTCTTCATTGCAATTCTTCAGAAATGACAGAGAGGAAACACCCCCCTCAGATTGTTTTGGTTTTCTCTAAACTAGAAAACTGAAGTTGGGCAGAACAGGCTGGAACGATAAACTGCTGTGTTTTAGCAATAGGCACAGGCAAGCTGCTCACCAGGTAACCCAGAGGTCAGTAGCAGCCTCGCTGCAGCAGCCCGGAGCTCAGCACTGCAAGTGCCGCTGTGTAGCCCTGCGAACTCCTTGCTGCTGCAAACATTTTTTTGTACACGATCCTGCACCCACCCATGGAAAAGTAGCTTACATGTCTCTGCACTCCGTGCCAGTATGTAGCCCTGATCAGCTCAACTGAAAATGTGGCTATGCTGCTGGGTGATGGCTTCTTCAGTCGAGACACTTTTATAAGGGTCTTTATGCTACAGGCAAAAAGGTTCCCCACCCCAGGCAGCACAAGAAAATCCAGATTTGTAGATCAGATGCAGGTTTTGTACCATTTTGCACCATTGCGACTATTCAGAGCATGAATTTTTCCCTGTCGCTATAATGATAAGGGGCTAACTCACTGGCCCTGAGGCAGTTCAGGGGAACTGAGAGCATCCCAGTGCTCACACTTATGCATGTATAGGAACGACTGGCAGGCTGCAGGTGCAGCCTTTTGGGTAGTACAGCTGCTCTCGTCCAGCCAGTGAGACCAAGACTGCATTTTGCAGTCCCTCTCTGCCTGGAGGCTGACCCATGGGCTCGATTTGGCACAGAGAGAGGCAGAAGCCACCCTGGGAGTCCTGTGCCAGGACAGCCAGCCATTTATCCCTTGCTTTTTCCTGCACAGGTATCTGAGATGAATCCCACAAGCCAGTTCCTTGGCACAACAGAATATGACTACGGATATGATGAAAACACTGCTCCATGTAATGAAGGAAACAGCTTTCACAGGTTCAAATCCATCTTTCTGCCAATCCTTTACTGCCTTGTGTTTGTCTTCTGCCTTCTGGGAAACTCCTTGGTCCTTTCGGTTCTCCTGACCAGGAAAAGGCTGACGACAATGACTGACAATGCCTGACATCTGCCTGGTGACCTTTGCAGCCTCTGATCTCCTCTTTGTTGTGCCTCTCCCTTTCCAAGCCCACTACGCTTCAGACCAGTGGGTTTTTGGCAACGCCATGTGCAAGATAATGGCTGGCATTTATTACACAGGTTTTTATAGCAGTATTTTCTTTATAACCCTCATGAGCATAGACAGGTATATAGCAATTGTCCATGCTGTCTATGCCATGAGGATACGGACAGCCTCTTGTGGCATAATTACCAGTTTAATCCTGTGGCTGGTGGCTGCCTTGGCTTCTGTACCCAACATCATGTTCAACCAGCAGCTGGAAATTGAGCAGTCTGTGCAGTGTGTCTCCGCATACCCTCCAGGCGACAATACCTGGAAGGTTGCTTCTCAGTTTGCAGCCAATATCTTAGGCCTCTTGATTCCCCTTAGCATCCTCATTTGCTGCTACGCCCAGATACTGAAAAACCTGCAAAAATGCAAAAATCGGAACAAGATCAAGGCAATCAAGATGATTTTCATCATCGTCATTGTTTTCTTCCTCTTCTGGACTCCCTTCAACATCGCACTGTTCCTAGACTCCCTGCAGAGCCTGCACGTCATCAATGACTGCAAGGCAAGCTACCAGATAGCCCTGGCCCTGCAGCTGACAGAAACCATCTCCTTCGTCCACTGCTGCCTGAACCCCGTGATCTACGCCTTTGCTGGGGTGACATTCAAGGCCCATCTTAAAGGACTATTTCAATCCTGTGTCCGTGTCTTCTCCAGCCCTGTCGGAGGCGTGGGGGCTGGTCGGTTGTTTCCAAGCGCCCACCCAGCTCTCTGGCTGCTCTGACAGCACTGGGGTCCTGTGAGCCCACCTGAGCTGCCTTCTTCTGGTGCGAGAAGTTGGCCTAAGCTCTGACATGGCCCTGGAGGTTGTACCATGTGTGCAGCATCCTCCTGGGAGGACTAGTATACCTAGGCCTCCTTTTGGGATATGCTGTGAACTACGGCACAATAAGTGGCAACGTTAGTTTCCCAAGAAGAGCACCGGTGCATTTGTAAGATGGTGACTCTACAAGCTTGCCACAGAATGATTTGTAATTAAGTTTTAGAGCTCTTTTAATACATTTCAGCAAGTAGGGTGCTTCCTCTAGTACTTATTTTCTCCTCTGATGAAAGCATCACTTCTGCCTCACCCCCAAATATGCTCTGCCTTGTGGAAGCTGTTCCATACCTGAATCCCTACATCCCTGGGAAAGGCGTGGGACACCCCTCCGGGAGGTGGGGAAGGGGACAGGCATGGGATTACTTCACATTGCAAAGAGGGAGTCACCTCAGCCACTGCACCGTTCCCCCTTTGCTTCAGCTACCAGATAAAGAGGCCCTTAAGCTCAGGGTCCTATCGCTTTGCTGTGGGACGCTCCCAGGGGCACGGCCGGGGGCCCCTGGAGCTGCTGCCACCCAAAGCAGCCTTTGGTGGTGATGCCTTCAAAAATAGCAGAGCAACGCCTCCAGGTGCCCCCTATACTGGCCACTTGTAGAAGCCCATACATTTGAATACGTCGTCATCAAAGCAGGCTGGTAGCCTGCATCACCACTGGAGGTGTGGGCCCTCCAACTCTGTGCCCCCAGCGCTGGCTCCTAAATGTAAACAACACAAAATGGCATGTAGCACGTAGGCTCTGTCTCTTTTTCCATACATCATTATCTTCTGCCATTTTAGAAATGTTTACTTTGAATAAACATATTAACTGCATCTTTTTGTGTCTTGGCTCCTGAAAGTCTTTCTAATGACTCACAAGCCTAGATTAGGATAAGGAAAAGTTGTTTTTACTGATTTTTTATTTTTGAGCTGGTATCACGTAAAATACATCTGATGGAATTGAGAGGCACCCTGGAGTTCTTCAGCAAA